GCACGGTGTCGCCCACGCGTGCGCGCGTGGACAGAGAGGTCTGTACTGCGCGTTGCGTGCGCGCGCGGGGCTGCTCCCGCGGTGATGCCGGGACACAGCCGGCCCCGCGAGGCCGCACCACCAAGTCATCACCCCGGGCTCTGCAGCCCGCACCTCGAGACGCAGCCCCGTGAGACCTGCAGGCCCTGACCCCCCCTGAGACCTCTAGGCCCGAACCCCAAGTGGGATCTGCAGGCCCCGAACCCCCCTGAGACCTCTAGGCCCGAACCCCAAGTGGGATCTGCAGGCCCCGAACCCCCCTGAGACCTCTAGGCCCGACCCAAGTGAGATCTGCAGGCCCTGTGTCCCCCCCAGACCTGCAGGGCCTGAACCCCCCTTGAGACCTGCAGGCCTGTACCCCACGGGAGACCCAGCCCCGAACCCCCATGAGACCTGCAGGCCCTGAACAAGACAAAGATCTCCACAGAGAAACACCAGGGTTGTGGGCTTTTGTTGTTGTGGGTTTTAAAATAGGCTTGAAAATAGTATACGTCGCTTAAAGGGACAAGATTGGTGTTGAGTCCTCAGGGAATCTCAGACATACTTGCCAAGTAAGGAAACTAAACGGCCCTAGAGGCCATGTGGGTATACATGAATTAGAGCTGGTGGTCATACCGCCAGCACAGGGCTTCCCTGCATCTTCCCTGTGAAAAATATCCCCAAAGAACATCAGCTTACCTTTCCAGGGCCACGCTGCTGTCACAGGTTGTCCACCTGCGGTCGTTTGTGAAGCAGAAAATCGCTGCAGAGGTGATTCTCGTAAGTCTTGGAAGTTAAGCCAGCGGCTCACACTTGTAATCCTGGCTCCTCAGGAGGCTGATATCTGAGGGTTGTGGTTAGAGGTGTCTGGGCAGGAAAGTGTAAGATTCTTATCTCCAGTTAGGCAGCACAAAGCTAGAAAGCCAGCTGTGACTCAAGTGGTAGAGCACCAGACTTGAACAGATTTTCAAAGCAAGCTCTAGTACACACACACGCACAGTGATACTATAAAGTTGTTCCTGGAAGTTACTATTCCAAGGCAAAATGGAAAATAAGATGAGAGAGCAAAATGCATCCCATTTTTACATAAAAGAAAAAATAGGCCTGTTTCTATTTAACATGAACTCAAAGAGAAGGTTCTGAGACTTTTTAAAATTGCATGTTGCAGTTCCCAAGGTAAAGGTTAGAAGAAAGTATGTGAGTCCCCGCTCTTGATTATAGATGCTTCCCACGTGCTTGCACTGCAACTGGGTAATTTGAGGTACTGTCCTCATTTTAAGCTATTACAATCAAATCTTAACTGGAAAATAAGCCCTACTTGCTCAGCCCTCACCTCATGTGAAGTCAGTCATGTAGTGTAGACTCTCTGCAGCCCCAAGAATTAAACCTTGGAGGAGAAGTGGGGAGATGGCTTGCGTTGGTTCTGTAGGAAGGCGTTTTCCCGCAGTACAGGGCCGGTCCTCCCAGGAGCGGCAAGCGCCTGGGAGGAAGATGCTGGGCCTCTGCAGCCTGGTGCGGTGTGGGTCGGAAGGGGCCCAGGTCGGAATGGTTGGACCCAGCTCCTGGCTGGGCTTCCCACTTCTGACCCGAGTACATGCCGTAATCTTCCTTACACATACTCACCAGTCTGTGCCATGAGGGTAACTCCCACCCCAAAGAGATTGCAGAAGGCCCCTCTTGCCCGGGGCATTACCTTCCACAGCCCAGCAGTGCAGTGCAGAAGAGACACAGTCAGGCGACTACCACCTGTAGCTTTAATAGTTAGTGTCTCACTGGGCCTGCTTTGTAAATAAGACCTTATCTTAGGTATGTATGTACAGGGAGCAAAAAATCATGGTATTGCAGTTTGGTAATAAACAGTTTCGGATTCCCACGGAGGGCTTGGAGGCTCCTGGGAAGGGCCAGCCGTCCCCGGACAGCCCGCAGTGGCCTTGCACACCCCTCCCTGCCTTTTCCCCTTCCCACTCTCCAGTGTACTCCGCTGTATGACTACACCGCTTTTCTTTGTAGATTTTCAGCTCGTGACCAGATTTGATACTGTTCTCAGTGTGCAGGTTGAGGAACCTTTTACTACCTGGTTGTAGAATTATAGGGAGAATGGACTTCTCTTTCCCTTTTTTTCTTTCTGTCAGTGGTAGGGTTTGAACGCAGGGCCTGGGTGCTGTCCTTGAGCTTTTCTGCTCAAGGCTAGCACTCTCCACTTTGAGCCACGGCTGTACTGCTGGTTTTCTGGTGGTTAGTAGGAGATGAAGAGTCTCACACACTTTCCTGCCCAGACTGGCTTCAAAGCACAGCCCTCAGATCTTAGCTTCCTGAGTCACTGCGATTTCAGGCGTGAGCCACCAGCACCCAGCTTCCTTTTCTTCTACAGGATCAACTATTATTCATGAAAGAATTGTTGTCTAATTAAGAACCTAATAATTACCTCCTAAGGACACTAAACATTTATACCACGCAAGGACCTCGTAAAGTCTGAATGAGTGCTTGTGTGGCTTGGCAAATGCTTTCCAGCAGTTTCCTTATGGTTTTGGATTTTTGGTTGTTGTTGTTTTAGATTGACTCTAGGTTCTGAGAATTGTTGATTGAGGTTGATTGTTTGATTCCCAAGAGAAATAGGCCATTTCTTATGACTCTACATAGCTTGGGGGTTTGTGGGCCACTTGGCACACAGACGGGTGTGGGCCTCCATCCTTTCCTGCTTGCTCACAGGAACTCTGACTCCACGGATTCTGACCATAGCGTCTAGCTTCAAAGCTGTTCGGAAGTAGAGATGTCTGGTTTCGGGAAGCACCAAGGTTGCCTCCCTGGGGATTCGGAGATTCTTGTTAACACAGTAACTGCAGTTCCTAATACAACAATATAAGATAAGACTTGTGCCAGTGGCTCACACCTGTAATCCCATCTACTCAGGAGGTTGAGATTTAAGGATTGGGGTTCAAAGCCAACTCTTAATTCCAGTTAACTACTCAAAAACCAGAGGTGGCGCTGTGGCTCAAGTGTTAGAGCGCTAGCCTTGAGCACAAAGAGGCTCAAGGGCAGTGCCAGGTTCTGAGTGTAAGCCCTACAGCTGAACCCCCCCCCAAAAAAAAGAGTTGTTATAACTGACTGGTTCAGTGGTAGTTAGCAGTTATAAAAAAGTTTCACCCAAGACTAAAGAATTTCGTGTAGATTAGTCAGAGAATAACAGCTTTCAGTCTTTCCTTTTTGATGCTGATGTAGAACTTTGGTACCAGTGACATCTTGAATTTGGAAGGAAATGTATATTTACAAGGAGCAGTATTTTAAATTCTTATTTTTTGAAGTCTTTCAAAATGAGATCAACTATTAAGGTTAAAGTTTTCTTCTTCATGGAACTATTACATGCAATCAGTAATTTTGAAAAAGTATTTAAACCTGGAAATTAACAATAATGAATTGATTTAATACGGTAGCTTTCAAACTTTTTGGTAATAACCCACAGTAAGAAATAAATATGAGGAATAAGACTGATTCTATTTCAAAATAAATACATCCAGGAAATATCTCGGGACACAAAAGACTCGCATTGGATTTGCATCCGTGTGGCCAGGTGACCCTGGCCATTCGCCTCTTGTTCTCCTGGTTTGCTGGTGAGCCTTTGATCAGAGCTAGGAAATAGGATGGTATCCCGTCTTCATTTCTAATAAACTCCTGTCTAAGGCAAAAGTTTATTTAGCCACACAGAACCCATGTGCTTCTTGTTCTGCCAGGTGCATAAGTAGAACTGGAAAGCAGAGCGGCGGCTGAAGAGGTTTGAAGTACCACCGGGCCGAGGATGCCCAAGCGGCCGCGAAAACCGCCTGTAAACTCAGACGGGTCCCTGACCACGCCATTCTCTCGGGGATATTAGCTCCCTTCGCCCCGCTCCTGACCCGTTAGACCTCATGGCGGATCAACCCGCACTCACACCATCTCCCTTTTACGTGGATGCGTTCACCCTACAACCTCTGCCCTCTGCTCCCGCACGGGTGGGCGGCGCTGCCAGCCAGCTTCTGGCTGGCTCCGTCAGTTTCCTGTAGATCTTCTTCCAATTCCTCCTCCTCACTCACAGGGAAAGTGGATGCCAGTGTGTTGCGACTGCAGCTTCCTGTCCCGCGGTACCTGAGAGTCCTCTTCCTTTCCCACCTCCTGCCCTTCCATCCGCTCGCCTGCTCTGCCTTTCCTCTCTCCCTGGCTCACAGGGAGCGTTGGGCCGCTTCTCCTAGGACGCAGGTGGGGCAGCGAAGAAGTCAAAGCCTTGTAGGCAGAGGAGCTTCTGCGCATCGCCTGACCGTGGCAGGCGCCTGGTCTCCCGCAGACTAGCCGTCCCCACAAAGCTCCGTGGGTTCCCCAGCCAGGACAGAATGCCTCCTTTCAGCCTCATTCCGAGGGTGGTTAGTTTGTCCCCTTCACCCCTTCCTTCTCCCTTTGATGTTTGACTCTACCTTTTTCTTCCTCCATTAAAAGTCAACAGATTATTTTGTTGTTTGGGGGGTTCTGGTTTTGTTTTGTTTTGGGCTGATACTGGGTCTTGAACTCAAGGCCTCATGTTCCAACTTGGCTTTTCCACTCACTTTTTTGCCAGTCCTGGGTCTTGAGCTTCTTTTGCTCAGTGCTGTCATGCTACCGTTTGAGCCACAGCACCACTTCTGGCTTTTTCTGCTTATGTGGTGCTGAGGAATCAAACCCAGGGCCTCATGCATGCAAGGCAAGCGCTCTACCTCTGAGCCACCTTCCCAGCCTTCCACTTTTTTTTTTTGATGCATTCTAGTGCTAGAGCCAAAAGACGACCTGAAAAGGTCTTTTCCTCATGTGTCAGCCTCTTCCTTGACTCACCCTTTCTCTGCAGACTAGAAACGACCTGTCGCTGTTCACTGCCCTGCTTCCCTTGGTAGCCAAGGGACCTGGTAGCCATAGGACCGGCCTTCTGTGCTCCTTTCACCTGCTCTCAGAGGCATCTGTGACCTGCTCCTGTGGATTTAACACTGCACTTAAAAGTCTTCTCTTGTCTCCCTCCTGTGCTGCTTTTTTGAAAGGTTCTTGCACGTCTCTGACGGTGCTTCACAGGTCTTTCAAACCTGCTTCAGGCCCAAGTGCATGACTGAGAGCCTCCAGTTCGTGAATTCATTCTCCTTACTAGACAGCTCATCTGCCTGTCCCTTGGGTAGCGCAGATTCATGGTTAAACATGATCTAGCAGCCAGGTGCCAGTTGCGCAGGTCTATAGTCCTAGCTACTCAGGAGGCTGAGGGCTAGGGGCTGTGGTGTCAAGCCAGCCTAGGTTAAAAAATGCAGTAGACTCCATCTCCAAATTAGCCAGCAAAAAGTAGGGCTGGAGGTGTGACACAAGTGGTAGAGTGTCAGCCGTGCTAACACACTGAGAAAGCCAAGCAAATGCAAGTCTCTGTGTGCAAACCACATTACCCCCTCCAAAAATATTAATCTAACTACCCCTTGCCACCCAAGTATTCTTAGTAAAAAAACATTGTTCAGCCAGTTACCTACCCCTCCCCCAAAAAAGTTGGTGAGTAACCCTCGATGGCCCTTTCTCTGCACGCCCCACAGCTTGCTGCACACCTAATGGTGTTGCGTGAGCTGTGCAGAACCAGCATTGTGGTTTTACTCATGAGCCCTGATTCATCACACCACTCAGGGCAGTACGAGCATGCCAAACCCAAAAGCAGATGAGGCTGGAGGTGGCTTCTGTTGAACAATGTCAGTGCCACAAGAAAGTATTAATTTTGGGCTGGGAAGGTGGCTCAGTGGTAGAGTGCTTGCCTTGCATGCAGGAGGC